ATTGGATAAAAAATGCACTTCTAAAGGAATTGTGCTATCCTCAAGTCCCAACAAGTGGTACCGATGTAATTTAGACATGAAAGTGAATCCACAATTGGATAAAGAATGCACTTCTAAGGGAATTGTGCTATCCTCAAGTCCCAACAAGTGGTACCGATGTAAGTTAGACATGAAAGTGAAACCTCAGTTGTAGGTGAACTGAGGTGGTGGGTCTCAAGTTACCAATAAAACATTCGGTATGATGATTCACCCCACAATTTTCATAGATTGGACTCATATGGATCACGTTCACGCTTTGTGCTTGAACTTTCACCAAGAGATCTAGTTGCTTCATTAGTGCCACAATGCTTATATTAGTGAATGATGAACTATGTAACTCATGTATATCTACTACTTTTTGGGATTATATGGTTGCCGAGAATGTCGAATGTATCTTTGCAATCAAATTCAAATAAATTCAAAGCTTGATTCACTTTATTCGTGATAGAACCATTTGTTGATGAGGCCACCTGAGACTGAGGTAAAAATCCAGCAATAGAAGTACCGCACATGTTGACGCTTGCTTATCCCATGATTTGAACATTTCTCGGGGAACTCTTTAAACTTGTCTCATACCTCATGATAACTTTATGCACCAAATTGCTAAAAAGTAGAAGTTTTCAGTTTCATCTTAGTCACTTTAATTGATGATCCCTGCCAGATCATCCTGGGTAGTAAAACTAACATGTGACCCGAAATCCAACCATTCTAATGTGCAATCTTCAATGTGCATGTAAATAATCGAAGTTTGATTGCATAATCTCGTACCCCTTGAAATTGAAATTTTTGGCACATCCTTGTAAATCTTGAAATATAGATATTAGGATTTTTCTTGTGCCGTACCATAGAATTGAAGATTGTTGATTAATAGATTGATTAGATCTGTCCTCAGTCGAAATTCATTTTGTTCAAAAACAGGATATACGATGCTTGAGCGCTTATGAATTGCTAATGGAGTAAAAAATTGTGCAACGGTTGATCTCCTTCATCAACTTTCACTCCTTGTTGCTAGATTTGTTGAGACACTAATCGAGTGATTTCTATCACAGCTGCTCTGCAACATGTTATGCAGTAACCAATCTAACTTGTTCGTCTGGCATAGTGATTTGTTGTTTATGGCCATGTTCTTTGCATCTTCGTCTGAACGTACCTTCCATGCTTGACGCTTCTAGGATTATGCTAGAAATGGAAATGTAGCCATGAAGAATCCTCAATGTGTTGCAAAGACGGGAGTCACTGTTGCGCTCCCGATTAACCAATATGTGACGCGAGACTGAATCTATGCCTCAAGGTTTAATTCCCTTCTTTTTTTTTCTCGTGTGTCCACAGGATTCTCGTGGAAAAGTAATTCTAGTGGGCTAATTTCTTAGAAGATGCTTTTTTGCCTCTCGCTTTACAATACTTGACATTTTGAAACATCGTCATTGCAGCAAATTGGCAAAGCTAAGATAGCGAAGCAGCTTGGGACGAACCTTCCTGCGACTCAGACAATTGGAGTTGACGGTATTTATGATTGTGCTGCAGTTATACTTTACAGCAGCATTTTTCTTGATTACAGGTTTGTTGGCTCTCCTTAAGGTCACTGGAAAAAATTGGCAATGTACCAACAAATATCAGTTTATCTCCGATCAACAAAAAACCTCATTGAGAAAAACGAGTACATGAAAGATAATAACTCGACTTCCTTGGATGATGGGTCAATTTAAGAGTACTTATAAGTTAAGATGAGGGGTCGTTTTAATTCTATTAATTGCATCAACCTTTGGATATGATTAAATTAATCCTTATCCAGTCTATATAGCGCGCCTCATGCACCCTAATGAGGATTAAAAACACCCGTAAAAAACCTAGAGTATCCATGTGAAATAAATATAAGAACACACAGATTCCATATCTTCAGATTCATTAGAGCAGAATAAGATATTCATGATATAAATTTCAAACAAAACCCAAGGAAGTGAATAAGCATAACAGGAAATGAATCTTTGGAAGGACTGAACAAGGAACAACCAGCACAAGCAATGAAACAAAGTGTTACATTTGCAATGAAAGTTAGCAACCGGTTCAAGAGATATTTATGCTGTCATTCAACACCTTAGTTGAAGGATATAACCGTAAAGATAGAAATCAGGTTAGGTCACTGTACTGACTAGTAACTACCTTCTCTAATACAAACTAAAGGGACGTCTCTAATTTAGCTTGTTGAAAGGAAAGAATTAAAGCTTCAAGGGATATATTTACAGATAATAGCTACCCTTTCCCAGTAGAAGATCCTGCACCTCGTCCAACTAACAAATACATTACTGTACCTCAACCAAGTAATGCATTCATGATTTCCCTTAACATGGCAGCAAGTATATGTTAAAAACCCCCCATCTGAAGCTTTACATAAATAGAGCTGCCTGCATCATGGTCATAATATTGATAGAAGCTCATTTGCCAAACACATTTTTTAGTAAATGTGATTTTGATTGCATTGGTAAACTTTTTTCTTCTTCTTTGAAATGGCCAACTGCACACATGTTTGGGCAATGAACAGATCTACAATAAGTCGATATGCAAATTCCTAATTATATTATCTAATGCAACCTTATCTAATGTGACCGAAGGGATGTCTCGAAGTTCGTTGAAGGAAAGAAAGAAACTAAAGCTTCAGGGACTAAATAATTTGCTCCGTAGAGAAAGGACAATGAATTCCAAAGTAGTTACTGCACTTCGTCCAAGTATGTAATGCATATGTTACTACAGATTATACAAGTAACAAATAAATTCACAATTTTCCCAAACATTGCAACACGTGGTTGTCCTTTTTATCTCCTTGCAGTAACATAGACAAACCTCCAACACAAATATCTACATGATCCTGGGAAAGACAATAAACAGAGCTAGCCATGTCATTGCCATCAAACTCTTAGAAGCTCATTTGCGAGACATAAGCATTTAAAGCAAATCCATGGTTTTGACTGCACTAGCTAAGCATCCTATGTTAATCAACTGCAGAATTGATGAAAGTTAAACATCTTTTCATTGTCTAAAATGGCCAAGTTCACATATTTTCCTACATACAGAAGATATTCTCCCTTTCATGATTTCAAATCCATTTCCACCTCCTATTCTATTTCTTCTACTGTTCTACAAGATATGAATACCAAAGAACTGAAGAAGGAACCTACGGCTAGAATGCTTCTTGCTATCTGGTCTGCATTCTGCTTTCGATCTTCGATTCTGAATATATATTATAGTCTAGTTGTACGCATACGCAAAATGTCTAATTTTAAATGCGATATGGACACCTTTACTCCAATTTCCAAATTCTGAAAGCAAAATGAAAATACACAATGATACAGTCCTCGCCCAATTGTATCAGCTAATTTATGTATGTCAAACATAGCAACACAGAGACACACACAAACAAAAGAAAATAAATAAGAAAAACAATCAATGTGCAAACCTGCTACTCTTTTCTAAAGATCTCAACTTCACAATCTTCCAAATCATATCCCTGCTTAAACAATTCAATACATTCCTGCTCATCACAGCTTCGATATATAGATAACATGAGTTCCAAATAATGCAAAATCATCGGTAAATAAGGTCGTACCAATCTATTAGGCATCAAAATTTACAAATATTGATGAAAACCATTAACTAGTATAACTATCAGAAGTAATACAGTTCCTTAATCAAATAATAATACCTATCATTTTATATCCACATTCCCATTGTTACGAGGAAGGAAATACGTCTTTAACAGCAGAGGCGGCTGTCAAGTAATTTAACGTATTTCTCAGTGTCTCCTTCTCCCTCTTCAACCTCGTCGCAGTATCCTCCAACTCCAGCAATGCCTGCTGCTCTCTGGGTGCTCCCTCAAAAGTACTCCCCACGAAGAACGAAAAGGGAGTAGGGAAAAGATTCCTCCGCAAGTCCTGAACCTCCTTTTCAGGCTTTCCATTCAACCTATTGGATAATCTAATCACATCCTTCATGTACATTTCCACCTCGTTCGCCAAGGCATCTAAGTCCTCCACCTCGCCATTCCCCGAGGGGCGGTCCTCAAGCCAAACCACCTCCGCCACTAAATAAGGTTTAGTTCGCACAAATTTGGTCACACGGAAACGCTCCTGCCCTTTACATATTAAAAAGAATCGATCATCCACAAGGCGCTCGTGCTTAATAACCTCCCCCACGCAGCCCACTTCCACCGTGCCAGTAGTGGAGTCAGTGTAGATTACTCCGAACCGGAGGTCAGTCTGGAGGAGGGTGTGCATCATTATGCGGTACCGGAACTCGAAAATCTGTAGAGGGAGTATAGCCCCTGGAAAAAGAACAAGTGGAAGGGGAAACAGAGGCAACTCCACTACATCATCAGATTTCGGGGAGTTAGTGTGGTGTTTTTCAGAAAATGAAGAAGCTGAGCAGCGAAGGGAGTTGGGTTTCCGCCGCTGACGGCGGCGATGAGAGCATGAGTGAGTAGTAGTAAAAAATTTATCTGGGTTTTGGTTTAAAAGGTAATTAGAAGGATTAAAGAGAGATTTGTGGGAAATTATTGAAGAAGAAGAATGCAATAGTTGAGGCAAAGCCATTTTCCGAATTTGTATAGAAGCTAACAGTGAATATATACCAAAGAGAGAGCTTTTACAAAGAGAAAATGGGAACTAAGAATTATTGATTGGCATGTTATTGAGGAACTGATAATTGAGAAGTCTTAATCTGCATTAGTACATTGGATAATTAACGTAATTATCTGGAGTTGGGGGATTGTAATGTATGGTGTGGTGTGGATAATGGAGAATTGGGTTGGCGGAGTTGAGATTTTTGTGTTTTGTGGACGAAGGGATGTGGTTTTAAGGTATACACGTGGAAATGTGTTTTTCTGGACCTCAAAAACGTGGGCTATTTATTTGGAAAAAAAAAGGGAAATTGATTCGAGTTTCGTCATTCTGTTCACCTTCTGTTAGTCTCTGAAAGAAATTCTCTGACCTCAAAATTTAGGGTAAATGATAGCTCTCGTTTGAGTTCTATTTTTCTGAATAAAATTTATGTAAAAAGTGATTTTTCTTAAGACAATCCATGACTAAAAATTAAGAAAATTCAGAGTTTATGTGCGATGCTACCAAATATCTGCACTTGTTGATTTTCTAGTTTCACGACTAAACATAGCACAAACAAAATCTCAAATACATGAAACAAAGACATCGAGATATGTTCTCATCGTCCATTCGATACTTAAGTTAACGAGAAGGGAATTTATGAAAAAGGCTATAAGCTAAATGCATATAAAAATGTATCTGAATAATAAATAAAAGTTTTGTATTTATAGAGGTAAAAGTGTAATCCTAGTAGGATTGAGTTACTTTGATACCTTATCTTGCTTTAGTGTCCTGGAAGATTCTAGAGTCCTATGAGAGATGAACACTAGAGTTCAACTTGATTGGGAGACCAGAGTTTTTGGATAATGTTGAAATTGTGGGGGTAGAGTCACTCTAGGATAAGAAACTAAAGGGAAAGAGAGTGGATAAACCGGGCGATCACATGGTTAAGTTGTAAACCCGAGGTCATAGGTCCGACCTCAACGAATAGTCAGTGGCTGACTCTATGGAGGTCGGGTTAAATGGTCCTCGTGGGTTGATCCAAAATGTGTTCATGGGAGGAGCAGTGGATATGGTTGTCTCGATCTCGAGCATAGTTAAACCTCATGGAAGTTGCGGGTGAGAAGTAAAATCTAGTACCTCGAGTTCAGGGTACCAAAATTGTGATTATCAACAGGATTAAAAGTTGTCGAAAGGTCTATGGAACATTATACAATTAGGGAGTTCAACAACTCATAAAGGGGTATAAAACTTCAGCAAAAGTTCTAGGGAAATGCTAAACAAAGCCTTGTGGGGAATGAATTTCCACTAATATTCAATACACCAATCATACTACATTTACATCATCTTTTATATCATTGTTTACATTGTGCCACTGTTTCTATCCGTAATTTTTTGAAAACAAAAATGATATCATTCTCAATATATTTCAATTAATGCACATTCAGTATCATTGTTCTACCCACAGAGTATGTAAAATGGCCTTGCCTAGAATACATCAGCACATTACACTTGGGTAAGATGGGTTGCTGAATTCCGTTACTTTTGAATTGGTCGTCATATTCCTTTTTATAATTTAAATCGATTATAAATATTTTTCAAATATACTTTTAAGTGACACGTTGAAGGCAATTAGGTTGTTTTTGATACACAATTTTTTCCTTGAAAAATGGAAAAAATTTTCCATTTCCATGGAAAAAAAGTGTTTGATGGGATAAATTTGGTCAAGAAAAAATTTTTCATCCCCCACCCCACGCGCCCTCATTCCTTGTTTTTAGGGAAAAACTTTTTCAGGTGGCTACTGTCCTTTTTATTTTTTTGTCGTAATGAAAACAAATTTCATAACCAGTTATAAAAAATAAATTCACTTTAATAGACAATTTTCATGTAAAACAAAGTCAAACGAATACTAAACTTTGATTTAAAAAAATGATTTTTTTAGAAAAAATTTCGTTTTTTTTTTTTAACTTTTTGATAATGGAAACAAATTTTATAACCAATTGTAGAAAAAAATATCACTTTCATGAACAATTTTCATGTAAAACTAAGCCAAACGAACACAAAATTTAAAAATTTCCACCCTGAAAATTATACCAATCAAATACACTTAATTAACAATTCCCTACAAAACATTTTATTGATAATTATTTTCATTGAAATTTATTTTTTTCCACCTATTTTTCATCCCTGCAATCAAAAGAACCATTACTCCCTTTGTTACTTTCAAAAGTATAGATGATTTGAAGTTTGTGCTGACTTAAAAGAACATAATTTCAAACTTTTACATCAATTATAATTTCTAGATACTATTTCAAATGTCAAACACGAAACATTGTTGATTTTGACTAGAATCAAGAAAACTAACTGAAAACCTTTATCATACGTAGTATGCTCTTTTACCACACTTTAGATAGTGGATTGAGAATATTTTTCCCTTCATTTTAGAAGTTGCAAATTAAAGAAATAGAAGTGCATTCCAACATAGACGTGCCATTGCACAAGCATCATTGACATGTAGTATCGAATAATATTTTAGAGTACCGTATGCATATCTTTTTCTTTCTTTATTAATCATATACACATTATTATATAAAGAGGGATGACAAGTGTAAAGAAATTAGGGAGGTGAAAAAGCAAGGAATGCATGGTTAGAGTTGAAAAACTTGAGCTAGTTGCTTTATTTGATTCTTGGCTCCCTTTCTTATCTACTTCTCTCAATTTATCGATTTTTTGAAGTATGTATGTATATATATAAAGAAAAAGAGCTTAGTCATGATTTGATTTGGAAAAAAAAAAGAAAAAGAAAGTGTTATTTCAAAGAAAAAGAGCTTAGTCATGATTTGATTTGGAAAAAAAAAAGAAAAAGAAAGTGTTATTTCAACCTTGACAAGTAAAATTTCAATTTTAGCCTTGGTTTCACACACATTCTCTAAAAATACATTCTTTCATTTTTAATCATACATTTTCGATAAAATAATATTTTCTATCACATAAATTATTTTTTATATTTTTTAATCATATATTTCTTATCATATCACTATTTTAAATACATTCTTTCTCAAACACGTTTTATTTTCTCCTTAATCATATTCAGTTTATCTAGTCAATGTTACAAAAGAGGTGTACATCAAGAAGTTAATAAGTCCACGTGGATGTCACGCCTTGTCCGAACAAAGGAATGGCTTATCTCAGTGCAAATTATAACAAATCAACATTATCCCATGTTTGGTATTAATTTAAATTAAGTTTTAATTTAAATCGAAAACAAATAATCAATACTGACCACATATTTTATAGGTCCCACAATTTTTTAACCACTCATTTCAAAAAAAATTATCCAAATCTATTAAAAATATAATTTTAATCCCACCAAACGCAGGCTCAATATGACAATATTAGTGCATCATACTTTTGCGAGAAAATGGAACATATATGAGCAAATGTCATAAAAACACAAATATCAATAAACTTTAAAATAGAAACTTCACTTAAGTTGAATTTTGGTACCAATTGGGCAAGTTGTCCAATTGGCACCAGGATTCAACTTAAGTCTCCTATATGATGGAGGTCTAGGGTTTGAATCCTGGTGGGAAGCGTCAGAAAGTCGTGATGGGATAAGTGGGCAGAAGCTCACCCCAGAGCGGACAGTACGTAAGATAACGGTTCCGGTGAGAGGCTCGATCATTACAATGTCTTGATATCATTATCAATATTTTATGACCTCATAATTTTGAACAATGGCTTGTTTTTTTCATCCAATTGCAAGCCCTTACTTCAATAAGAACAAAAAGGAGAAGTATTTTTAGCCGATATCAATGTTCTGTTGAAAGACACGAATATCACAAAAGATGCTAAAGTTGATATAAGCTCCAATGTATGTTTATCAGTACTGTTATCGTATTTTATTTTGCAATAAATTGAAGTTTCCTTGTAGCAATGTTAAGCTTAGATTTCTTATTCTTTTGTATGTTTCTATCAACATTTCTTACGTATTAACAAATAATGTTAATTGAAGTTATGCTTTGGTGAACTATATAACTGACTTACAAAGCCAATGCCAACTCTTTACCACCGTTACAATTGACGAACCTGCTCCTGGGGTGAAATCTATTTCCAACGTTAAGAGTTCTTCATCAAAGGTCTGGAAAGGTCAGTTTTGTATTTAATATTTTACAACATGTTTGTCATGTATAACTTACCTCTAATAATTTTGTCATCAAATCTGCGGCAGTTCGAAGAAGCAGGAATACAATTAAACTTAGAATTGACTACCAATATTAAATGGTTGCTTCTGTTTTTTCTTTCTCCTTTATTCTCAGAATTGACTACGAAAAAGTTCATATTACCCTTTTATTTTAAAGCTGAGAATGAATAGTGGAGCATGGATATGAATAAAATGAAGATNTTTTATTTTAAAGTTTTGTGAATGGATAATGAACGATGGATATGGATAAGATGTGGATAAAAAAGTTTCATAAATGAACAGTAAATGGTGGATTGATTTTTTGAAGAGGATGCTAATTTTGAACTACTACTCCGTGAAATTTATTTGAATTTTCCAAAGCCTAAACATTAATTTTCTAGAAAATCTATAATTGAATAATGAATACTAGATCCATTTTTGGGTAGATTCATTGATAAAATCTGCCTAGTAGCATTTTTTTCGATCGCGCTACACTTACAGAAGGACACTCAGCAGCCAAAGCCTCGTTCCTTAACTGGTGAAAATCCCCTTTCAATCCTCTGACCGAAACCTTACGAATCGCCTCATTCCCTACCTCCGTTCCCCGACGAACATTGGCTTGGGTTGCACACCATCTCCGCCCGGAGCTATGTCGCTTCCCCTTTTCATCGAGTTTAAACTTTTGAAACCGCCCGAAGCAGTAAGCAAGGTAGAACTCCAAATCGGGTCATGACCGTCGTCCACCAACGTGGCACTCATCTCCACCTTCGCCCATCATCTAAGTTCGCAGTTGCCGCACTCATACTCGGTCGGCGACATTACTTTGTGGGTATGATAAATCATCATAAATTCAAAAAACTAAAATCTAAATATGTTACTCGATGGACAGCTTAATGTTGGAGACGTTATGATTCTGCTATTATGCTATCAGATTTGCTCTTAATAATCCAACTACTGGTGCAAGTAATTTATGGAGATGAATGAATATGAGTATTGACAGCTTTGTTAATTGTGTTTATCATGGCCTAATTCAATCAAATTTGATTTCTGTTCGCCAATTTCTGTTTGCCTATTTAATTAGGTGTTGATATTTAGAATAGAAGAAAATTGTGAAGTTGCCTTTGAAAAAATTTATTCTCATTATTCTTAGTATGCTTCGTTAATCAGTTTGTTGTTGTTGATAAGTATGCCTTTGAAAAAATGTTGGTGTTAATCAGTTTACGCTAAGCATGCTTTGTTAATCAGTTTATGCTAAGCATGCTTTGTTAATCATTATTCTAAGTATGCCTTTGAAAAAATTTATGCTTTGTTAATCAATTTGTTGTTGTTGCTTCCCGTCCAAGATGAGACGTAGAAATGTTAGTGTTTGTCACAGATGTAGAAGCACGGAGCATTTCTTTAGGGATTGCCCGATGAAACGGTGATGCCCATTGTGTGCACATGGATTACAGAATTGTTTTGAGGTTGAAAGGGAGACCGAGAACAAATGGCGATTATTCAAAGACAATCGAGACGACTTGCCAACTATGTTCAACTAAGCTTGTATGTAAAAGATTGCTACTAAAGTGAAGTGGAGTGTAGTTTAGTTTTGTTCAGGTGAAGTGGAGTGTAGTTTAGTTTCAAATATGTTGATTGTGGAAGATTTGTGAACCAATTTTCCCGTCGTTTATAAGCTGTTGATTTGTAGTGGAATGTTATGAATTTTCAATTATGAATGAAATTGCTGTGTTTTTGTCAGGGTCAATGATACTTGTACATTAAGGGTGCCATAAGGGTGTTCATAATATACACCTGGCACCCCTTGATGTACTTGGAGCAGAGCCCGTTTGTTAGTAAATCAAATACCACAATATGCTTAGTCATATGTGCTTGCCATATATACTATGAACTCATTGATGTACCTAATGCTAATCTACCAAACATAATAGAATCTCAACTTCATTGCATTCATCTGAAACTTCATTGCATTAATGTGAATCTCAACTCCAAGACAAGATTATGCAATTACAGGTATCATGCAAGTTCTGAATTCGAATAGGAAATTAAAATGGAAGCAAACTCAACCCATGGAACGAACACAACCTTCCCATCAACTTGTTCTCAGCAACATTTCATGGCACCACACAGCCGAGGTGAGTGCAGACAGCATTGAAGCCATATGTTGCCAGTGTTCTGTCATTCTCCACAACAAGGTAGGTCGAATCCCCCTGCAATTTTTCTCCAAAGCATTGAAAAATTTTCTGTCATTCTCTAAAGCATTGAATCGTCCTAGTGGACATTAATCTTCCTCTGAATTCCATTAACTACACAGAAATTCTTTGCCTGGCACATGAAGAAGCTGAGCTATTTTACAAGGAACTTGTATCAGAATTCAAAACAACAGGCAATGTGTAACTATCATGCTCAACATCCTCAACCAATCACTTCAACATATAGCAAACTGCCCACACCCGAACCATAGCAACAGAGGACTGAGTAGCTTAATGAAATAGAAATGTACAAATTACACCAAGCTCTTTATAGTTTAAGCACCTGCCCAACGCCCTCAACCATTATAAATGTAACAATTACAACCAACTGCACCTATGTAAATCTTCTGCCCAATTTTTTTTAAAAGACATTTACAATGCACCCAGCTTATTCCCTTCTTACATCTTGTTCATAGGAAACAAAAATGGATGCTCAACAGTATAATGCAAAACGGTTCTAAACAGTTAAGAGTCAAAAATAAAAAATAGACGGGCCTCAAACGGGAAAACACCCAAACTGAAAAATCATGCAACAATTCACATACTGCTCATTTCTGCTAATTTTGCGTTCTGATCTTGTAACATAGTACTTCAATGCTACTAATTTTGTATAAGTTGTTCTTCAACAGTAAGCATATTACCGTTTTCAGCTGCAGATCTCCGGAATCAGCTCGGTCTCTTTAGGCGATACTCTTCTAAAGGGGACGACGAGGTCAATGAAGACAATGGCATTTTCGGCTTGAAGGAAGGCACACCATTTTACAGCAAGAATGACGTTTTATAGGGGCTGCAATGCTTCAGCTCGGTCATATTGGAATGGCGATTTTCAGGGCTGCAATGTTGTCAGCTTGGTCGATTGGATGATTTGAGGAAGAAAGTAGCGTCGAGGGCTTCAATGAAGACACTCTGAGTTAGGGCAAAATATGGCGATTTTGTTGTCGAAGTGGGCGGGAATGAGGAAGAAAGAGAGAGAATGGATACCAAATTCCCTCTTTTTTGTTTGATTTATGCACCAGCACGCTTGCACACCCCGGTCACGTGACTTTTTTATTTTTATTTTTTGTACAGCTTCTGGTAAATGGGTTCTGTACACCCAGCACTTTCCCATTTTTTTTTACGCGCTTCACAAAATAATCTAATATTCTATAACCTTTATATTATGAAAAATTCTCAGACGTTGGATCAAGTCAAGAACCATAAATCTACGGTAAAGCAAAAAACGCGTTTCCCACGCGCCAATCGCGTTAATGTTCTCGAATGATGAAAACGTGATAGTAGTTTTGTCTGGCATGCGAATGTTCTCGAACGGCTAATATTTTCTCTTAACCACGCGCCACGTATGCCCTAATCGTAATGGGTCAAATGACCCCCCACTAAAGATCACAACAGAATTCACAATCACAAATTAATTACCTCTGTCCTTACGTTACGATCAGAATTAAATAATAATTTGATGACGTCATTATATACGCATCCACCACTTTTGGGTGGCGATTTTGTAATTGGAGGGAATAAATTGTACATTTTTGTAAATTAAAAATTTGCGCCTTGCTCTTTATAAGCATAATAGCACATCGGTTTCTTTCAGATTCGACAAAGAGAGTTGAAAATTTTGAATTTTGGGTTTTTGTGAGAGAAAAAAAAAAATGGCCGCAGAAGAGGGACAGGTTATCGGCTGCCACTCGCTTGATCAGTGGAAGGAGAACTTCAACAAGGGTATCGAGACCAAGAAATTGGTATGTAATTGAAGCACAACATTTCATTTTGTATTTCTTTTGCCTTTTTGATTAATGATTAATAAATTGTTGTGAGATCATAATTTATGCGATTGTTTTCTCGTGGGTTGGTTTTTGCTTGACCAAATTTAATTCTGTGGTTGTTTTTGTTAATATTTCTTGTATTAGGGTTTGAATGATCTGTTAAATAGCTTTTGATTATTCCTATGTCTGAAGGATCGTTTATTTTAAATATTCGTTAACGGGTTTTGACCGTTCTTCAATCTTCGGATTTGCCCCTCCCTTTTTGGTTGGGACTTCTAATTGGAGTTTTTTCATTCTTTTCATAAAAAACTGGAAGAATTTCTTGTCTTAGTTGATTTGCTAGGTCTATGATAGTAGTTTCATGAAAACGGATAATTACCAATGCATTTACACATTAGTTGAACAACTTGGGTATCTTAACAATGTCTTACCTTCACCTGGAGCGAAATAAGTAAAGGAGAAATGTGTAGTGTGTAGAAATTTTGTTTGTGAAGAATGATTCAAGAACAGAGTAGAGACTCTAGGGGTATCAATCAATTTTTACGAGATTAGATTTAAAGCACAAATTTTCAATCTTTGAGATGTTTATAAAGTTTTCAATTTTGCTATATCTTCTCCTTCATTTGCCATTGCAAATCTTCCCCTTTTCACTTGTCACTCCTCTCCAGCTATTGAATATGTCGAGTTTGCACTTACTGCTAAGTTGATTCATTTTTAATGACGAGTGCCCTTCCAATAATGCCAAGTAAAATAGAGGAGAAGAGGAAGGGTCAAGTTTTTCGTCTTGTTGAGCAATACAACATCTAAAGCAAGGAACTTTTTAATGCGACCCCTAGTTACCATACCCGCAATTCTTACCACGTAGGGCTTGGATAGACTTCTAAATCCATCCCGAGCCTTTACTTCCACTTCTCCTTTCCAATCCTTGATCAAACTTGTGTGCTTTGGCATTCTACGAGTTTGACTTATTTTCAAGAGAAACATATCAAATCCAGGATCTTGTAGTACTCTGAAATTACAGTGTTTGGTGAGAGTAGTGATCTTACGTAGACACTGTACTTCATGTCATTGCTTTGGGCTGTTTAACATACTATCCTGCTTTAGTAAAAGAAAAAAAAAATGTCATTGTTACAGCCTTTGGCTATTTTTTCGCTGAGATTTTTTTCAGTTGTTTTACTTTTGTGCATTTAGCATGGATTTTAATAGCATGAATCCCCCTTTTTTGTTTTTGCAATCAGGTGGTGGTCGATTTCACAGCTTCGTGGTGTGGGCCCTGCCGATTTATTTCCCCAATTTTGGCTGAGATTGCCAAGAAGACTCCACATGTTATATTCTTGAAGGTGGATGTGGATGAAGTGAAGGTACTCCATAGCATTTTTCTCTGTGGCACTTCATTAGTAGTCGATTGTATTTTAGCTTTTTCATGTTTGATTCTGAGGTTTTCAAGCAGAAGCAAAATAAGTTGCTAATGTAGTAATTTCTTCCAGGATGTTGCTAAAGAGTACAATGTCGAGGCCATGCCCACATTCGTGTTTCTCAAGGATGGGAAAGAAGTGGATAGGCTTGTGGGTGCGAGGAAGGAAGATTTGCAGGCTACAATTACCAAGCACGCTACTGTTACTGCTTGAGGTTGCTTTGTTATGAAGTTCTATGTTTTTAAACATTTGGGCTTGTAATAATCTACAGTTTGTTAAGATTTTTATTATGACTCTGTAACCTTCAGTGTGATGGTCTATCGTTGTGAACTGTAATAAAGTCTTGTAATTTTCTCTTGCGGGGGAAATCTTAGTATATGTGACTCTGTGGTTTTAGTACTATGTGGTTTATTGTGAAGTCTTGAGTCGAAAAACATAGTTTTAGCATTTCACTACCTATTTGCAGTTCCCCCTACATAACATAGTTTTAGCATAATTGTACTTTCTTGTTCCCCTTTAGAATTAAAAAATAAATAAAAATAGAGTGAGAATCAGAGGTTAAATTCTGTGTATGCCATTAACAAAACATTACTTGGTTCACGGCGTTGGAAACTACAAGTCCTTGTCCGTATCAAAACAACAATCCGATGATGCTTTTAAATGAATCAATTGGTTGAACAGAGCTCTCCTTGATGTAATTTTTAGTTTCTACCGGTCTTTACACTTCTCCAGCACATGTTCAAGGTGATGGGTATTTGCAACAAGCTTCGCATCGGTCAAGTTGTAAAAACAGTACATTACTCGAAAGTAGTTGGTTTAGATCATAACTTTTTAGTTTATATTCTGGATCTGCAAACTACGTCGCCATAAACTAGAAAGCCTTAACCAATTTGAAAGATCTTTTAATGTAGATGATATTACTGAATTTTGGACTGTTTGATCAAGTAAAGGAACCTCAATGGAATTCATAAAGCTGAATGACAAGTGGACCTACTCGTACANGCAAGTGGACCAACTCGTTCACATTCATTTGATTTACCCCTTTTGTTCCAGTATTGAATTTCCGCCGCTATTGACTGACCTCTAGTCGAAGGAGGTAGATGGTTTTACTTTCGCCCGAAAACAGTGATTCCTGTGGGAAGCACTTATCTTTCATTACCTGAGCAGGCACTATGGATTGGTGCCCAGTCTCCACAGTAGCTTTCCATAAAAGCTCCAGTTTTCCAAGTGGAGTTACAAATAGGAGGAATAAACACCTGTCGAATATTTCTAGGCAAAGAAAGTAAGTAACTAGGGCTTACGCGAAAACTGAAATCTAAGAGTAAGCCAAGCAGTAACTAATCATACGTCGTGTGAAACACTAGGAGTAGGGATCCATTTGGGGATACAAGGGCCCGACTTAATCTCAAAAGAAAAGAGAGTACTCGCGAACGCCTCCTGTGTGTAAGGCTTAGCTTCCCGATTCACCATTTAACTCCTCTTGCTAGACCATCTTCTCCAAGCGCATAAGACACATTTTGCAAGCAATAACTTATTAGTAGCACTCTATTTTCTTAAAAAAACAATAAAAATGGAAAGAAAAGACTGGAAGGCCTCAAATTTATCATATGCAAAGTATGTTATTGATTAGCATAGAATTGAAAGCTTCCACCTTGTAAGTACAACGTGCATCCGAAATGAAAGTCTGGAAACTTAAAAAGGACAATAAAAAATGAGTAATTCCCCAAGTACAGGGGCTCTTTCACAGGGGTCTTACAAGACCTCTCACTGTAGCGCCGACCCCACCCCAATGTATTAAAAAAAAAAAAANTCAAACTCTGAAAGCCGAAGACGAAGCGAGGAAGGCAGCTACAGCAGCAGATAAGGAAGAGATTTAGGCAACTTCAGAGTCTTAATTGACCTACCGGACTCTAAAGGAAAGGTACACTTATTTGGAAACTAGAAACTTGCCGGTTTCAAAGCGAAACTCGATCTTACTTTAACACAAGGGCCGGTGGACATCATTGATAGTGGCATCTCTGTTTGCGCACATTGGAGAAAGTGCTCTGCTAGTGAAATCGGTCCATTTACACCTACAATTCTTTCAACCAAGGCCGAGCACTCTTCTTCTCGAATTTTTTTTGGATGCACTCTCGCTTTAAGTTAAGTAGCTGAAACCTCTATGTAGAAAAGTTTCTTATTTCGAAATGAATGGCATTCTAGAATTTCTCACTCATATGGAATGACATAATAGAGAACGATAAGTGACCCATTAGAATGAGGTCGTATATCAATCATTCAAGTCTTTCGCTCCCTCGTATATAATAGTTTGGTCCCATTGAAATAGAATTTTTTCACTGAGTGTAATCTAAACCCGACATTTTTTTCTTCATTCGTCATTTTTTTTTTCACTCCCAATATATTTCATCATTTGAGCACTGAAGTGAATAGATCGTCGAATGTCGTTGAAATTACTATCTATATGCTCTAATGTGTCTGCCCGAGTGTGTAAGTAATAATATACACTTGGATGGGAAATGACCTGACATATGTTTGATTGTTAAATCTCGTTAAATTTAAAGGCCAACATAATATATAAAATTGAACTAAATATTAATACCTATGTACTTTGCGATTAAATAGAATTGAAGTATTGACATGTTTGGAATTCTAAGGTATATGCATGGAAATTGATTAGTCACAAAATTGAGAGTGATAGTGATTGAGCAAAACTATGATTAGTTATAACCATTTGTCCAAGACTCAAACTTTTGGAACTTCGATTACCTGAACTCTTGTCCAACCCTCCTCCATATTGCGTACATAAAAATGTAATAGTAACCACATTTGAATATGCTTTCCAAGAACTCTTTTTTTTTTTTTTTTAAATTTGATTTCAAAATTTTCAATTTCCCTTCATATTTGTTTCAAGGCCAACAATACATACACTCAAGTGTTTACAATAATAAATTGTATTATTTTTGTGAATATATAGTGTATGCTCAAGTATATAACTTACTGCAGAATATAATGACCCTGTACATGTAGCACGATTCATCTTGAACACGAATAATGCTGACAATTTTTCACAGGGTCCTTACAGGTCCCTCACAAAGGGGCAAGCCCCACACGTATTTAAAATAAAAATAAAAAAATTGAGCGGTCCCACTTATGTCTTGCCTGGTAGGGACATGAGAAACAGGTCCCTGTACTTCAAGCATGACTCTTGAACACAGGCGATCTCTGCAATTCTTTGTGGCTCAGCAAAATCTTCTACAGATAACTGAAAGCACAAAAAAAAAATTAGAGTCCATTTGATAGGTAAAGGTGGAAAAGAATTTCAATTTCACGTTAGTTGAAAAATAAACATTCACCAAACCAATATAAATTTTTTTCCATAAAAATCAAGAAAATGCAGCTTAAAATAAATGTATCTTAGAATTCGATTTTTATTTCATGTTGCACTTAAACGATCAAAGTAAAATTGATTTTTCTAGCACATGAAATGCAACAATCGGGCCTTGGAAAAAGAGAGAAAAAAAGGCTCTCAAGTATAGTGCTTCCCTGCAAAACCATAACTTCGAAAATTCCAGAAATTTCACTCCCTCGCAAAACCCAAGATTTCTTTCAAAAATGCCCCTCCAAAAATCAGACTCAAAAGTAGACGAGCACTTGAAGAATCTCTGCAATAATGGGCGCCTGCCTCAGTGGAGCCATATCTTCTTTTGACTTCACAGTCCAATGCGGATCTATGGTAAGGCTCAAAAACTCTGTCGCACCTGATTGACTTCTGCATTGGCTCCAATTCACTTATGTTATAAGCTGCAAGGCTATGTAAGAAAATTGCGAAAAGAATCATACCCGTTTGTTAAAACGAAGTTAGTAAATATGTGGCACTGGAAAATGCATTTGACGCGTTCGATGCTATAAGCGAGAGAAATTTTACGCGTGGACTACGATAATTGGGGCATGCTCGAGGGAGAGGAAGTGGGGTGAAGCTGTGGAGCATTTTTATTCGATGACGGGGAGTGATAATATTGTTCCGGATGACTTTTTATTTCCCAAGATTTTACTGACTTGTGGGAACTGTGGTGATGTGGAGACGGGGAGATTGATTCATGGCATAGTTACTAAATAAAGGATGAATAGCCAAGTTCGCGTGGATAATACAATTCTAGTTGTATACTCAAAATGACGGTGGTTGAATTAAGCAAAGAGGTTTTTTAAAGGAATGAAGGTGAGGGATACAGTTTCTTGGAATGCAATAATCACTGGTTATTGTCACAGCACGCATATTTTTTGATTTGGTGCATGAAGAAGGTGTTGAGCCTGGCTTGGTCACTTGGGAATATATTGATATAGAGTTATAATCGATTGGGGAAGTGTGATATTGCCATGGAACTGATGGAGATGGAGAATTATGAAATCATGCCAGATGTTTTTACTTGGCCTAGTGTGATTTCAGGGTTTGAACAAAATAATAGGATGTTGTAGGCGTTGGAATTGTTCAGCAAGATGATTTTGTATGGGGTTGGACCAAATGAGGTTACACTCATTAGTGCTATCTCAGCTTGTCCATCTTTAAAAGATTTAAGAAAGGGAGGGAAGTTCATCTGGTTTCAATGAAGGTGGGGGTATGGTGAAAATGTTCTATTTGATATGATTTCAGAGATGGGTGTCTATATTTGGAATTTGATGTTCGTGGATATTGCCAAGCTGGATATTGTGGTAAAGCCCATGATCTCTTTATGAAAATGTGGGAATCGGAAGTATTACCAAACGTCATTCCATGGAATGTGATGATTAAAGGTTACATTCAAAGTGGAGATAAGGATCAAGCTATGGATCTTTTTCAAAGGATGGAGGTATTAAGCGTGACACTGCGTCATGGAATGCTCTTATTCGTAGTTATAAAACCCGACCCAGCCTGGACGGTCGGCCGGTAAAACTGGTAGGGCCGGGCAGATTAATTTAATCGAAATGCACTTGACTCGGTCAAAATCGGACTTTGACCGAGTTAACCGGCGATTTACCTGGTCCAGTTGACCGGTTTGATTGGATTTTAAAATTCTTTTACAAAATTTTAGGGTCCAAGTGAATTGAACCTTGGACCTCTAAGGAAAATAATTGGTTCCTTACCACTTGAGATAGAGTGTTTTAATATTACTTATATGGAAATAATTTATATGTATTTAATGAATAATTTATAGGTTTTATAACAATATTCTTTTAACAACATTTGATCCCACATTTTACTTTATTTTATACACTTACATAATGAATAATTTATAGGTTTTATAAAAATATATATTTTTAAAATTTTCATTCAACCTTATACTTTATTTTATAGATTTAAATAATTAGTGAAAAATAAATTAAAAATTTTAATTTTGCTTCTAAAACAAAATTTATACTTTATATTTTTCTGTAGATTTTTATGCAATGACCCACCTGTTGAACCAACGGGTCACCGGTTGAACCACTAACCCATTGACTAGCTGTATTGTCCGGGTCTGTGTCCGGGTCGAATCTGATAACTATGCTCTTATTGCTGGCTACTTGCAGCAAGGATAGAAAGATATAGCATTGGGGTATCTTTCGGCATGCAGTCTTTTAATGTAAAACTCAATTCTGTTACTATTTTGAGCATCTTACCTGCATTTGCAAATTTAATTGCAGCGAATGAGGTCGAAGAGATCCATGGTTATGACTTCTGAGCTTGCAGTAGCAAATTCCATAATGAAAACTTAATTCCAAGTTCGGGGAATATAATTTATTTGACAGCCATGTCTAATGAAATGTCAAACAAAGATATTCTCACCTGGAACAAAATTATTGCTGGTTATGTCTTGCACGGTTGTCCATATGATGCAATTCAGCTCTTTGAACAGATGGGAAAAGAGGGATGTAGAACAAATAGAGGTACATTAGCAAGTATTATTTTGGCTTATGGTCAAGCTAAGATGGTTGATGAAGGGAAACGTCTTTTCTCTAGCATGCCTGAGTATTATATCATGTTTTACCTTGTCTAGATCATTATGCAGCCACGGTAAATTTACTTCGTTGTTCTGAGATGCCTGCCGAAGCATCTAAGTTCATTGAAGATATGGCCATGGAGCCTGATGTCTCTATCTGATCTGCCTTACTAACTGCATGTTGTACCCATGGAAATGTTAAACTGGCAGTCTATGCTTGGGAGCAGTTGCTTGACCTGGAACCAGAAAATGCCTTGATTCAGAGGGTGGTTTTACAGCTACTTGAGTTAAGTGGGCTTTCCCATTTTGAAAATGAAAAGGTCTGGAAAAAGACACCATCCGAAAGAGTACCTAGGATAAAGCTGGATTGAAGACAGAAACATAGTGCATTCTTTTGTTTCTGGTGATCATCATCAACTAGATGATAAATTTCTACTTTCTTATATAAGGAGCATAGAGGTAACCTTTCAAAAAAAATATAAGGAGCATAGAGGCAAAAGTGAAGGCACCAAAGTACCGTGATAGGCTTAACATTCAGGAAGAAGAGATGGAAGAAACCGGAAGAGTTCATAGTGAAAAACTTGCTTTGGATTTTTCCCTAATCAGATCTCCTCAAACACCTCAAAAATACGGATTGTCAAGAACCTGAGAACGTGTGAGCACTGCCATAGGGTTGCCAAATTCGTCTCTAAGACACATGGGTGTGAAATACATCTAAGGTACTCGAATGAATACACCATTTCAAACATGGGATATGTTCTTGAAGTAAGTAGACGATCACAAGAATCATCATCCTTGAGGTAATGATGCATAGCATCAGAATCTTTAGAGGCTTTTACAATACTAAATTTCTGCCTTTATAGAATCACATCATTTAGTTACCTGAATGCTGTTTTTTCATTCTTTTCCTTTTTTTGTGTGTTTGTGTAATTGACATAAGTTGTCTAAGGATTTAGACACAGTTTTTGTACACCCAAAGTGGGCGAATATTGTTTCTTATCAAAATGTATTTATCCATCATGTTATATCATTGTTCTGCCTTCTAAAAAAAATCAATACGTATTTCATATTTGTGATTTTATATTTCATTCTTTCAATCCACTTGTTCATCATCCATTTTTTTTTGCTTTGACAATTGAAATTGGCAACCAAAAAATTGTATTCATATTTTCAGTTAAATATGCCAAAGACTCGGATTAAAATAATTACGTAAGTGGGAGGGGGTGAGAGTTATGTAGAAAGCTGGAAGCAGGGAGTGGAATTATTATAATTTTGTTGCCTGGGGAATAACTGGACCCTAGGATTTGTGTATCTCTTTCTCTTGTTATTTTATTTCACATTTGTTCAAGGGATCAGTTTTTAATATGTAATGGCTCTGCATCATCTGAGTGTGAGCTGTGTGAATGCTATTTTTGTTGACTGTATAGAAGTTACTATCTACTTGACACTTGATTTTTAGTGAATGGTCGATCTTGTCAATATACAAATGCATTACTCCCCACGAGTTTCAATTGTCCTCATATTGATCACTGAGAGAATTGAAAGCTTTTCCAAAGTGGACTCCTCAAATTCAATGTAGTGGCACCTTAAGGGATGAATAAGACCCAACGGTTAATATGTCTCAGCTCTTTTGATATTTCCGTCCATTGCATAGTTTTTTCATTGTTCAGAACTCTTCAGTTCTATATTTTTTAGAATTTCTTGCTTGCCATTTTACACGTGTTTAAAGATCGAAATAGTTTTTATTTTGTTTTTCTCTCTTGATGATACCTGGCTGTTGAAAGGAATTCAATTCCGGAATGACTATTGCGATCACAGAAATTGCAAACTACCAGAAGGATACCAGTGTATTCATGCATCCTATAAAAACTTTGTATTAGAAATCTTTTGCCTGCAGAAACTCATGCCTGTTCTTAGTCTCGTCGAATCACAGAGGATGTTATCCCAGCACCTTATTCACTTATCACTTTCAGTAGCAAGGTGGAAGTTGCACTAGTAGGAAAATGTTGGTTCTGCCATCTACATATGACTTGAGCACTTTTAACTTCACATTATACATGCCCATCAGAGTTCTCTTCTTAGGCCCTAATCGTTATTGTGTTTGACTTTAGACGACTTGTGCTCTTCCTGTCTTTGTTTATATTAACAGCTGTATTCTATTTTTAAATCCTATATCCAATTATGAGCTGTTGAAAACTTCTATGGGAAATTATCAGAAGTAAAAATGATAAGAGAATATATATCATACCTAATATTATGAGAACCTCTAGGGATAATACAAAGTATAATTGTGGTGGAAGCCACATCTCATTTGAAGTGAAACAATAGTAATAGATACTAAACCATCCAGAACCTGGAAATGAGCTTATCACTTTCTTGTACAGTAGAGCACGGTGTCGTGGTGTTGCTCACATGGCAAATTTAAAGAATTTCCATTGATTTGCCATTTTGGAATATTTGGCTGGCTCCTTGTCTATGTCATCCTTGCTAATACTCATTGGACAATGGAAATCAAGGTCATATATGTCGTCCTTTAGAGCCAGCCCACTGTTATTGCCCTTGTCTATGTCATCCTTGCTAATACTCATTAACTAATGTCAAATCTGCACCTGTTGGTAGACTGAGGCTTTTTAAAAAGCTTTTGTGAAAATTCACGGAATCAGATTCCTTTCTTTTGAATGCCATCTTTCCAAAGTGGAACCCCGAAATTCCTTATTCTGCTTTCTGGAACTGTTTGAGTATTCCCCAGTGAACATATTTATTCGCCATGCGCAACATGAAGTCGTATATATACCCCCCTGCCTTTCTTCAGTCTAAATTCAGAACCATAATTCATCCTTCGGTATCTCTCTCTTGTTGGCTCTATGGATCATAACTACCATTTGGTAAGTGACAATGCATTTGCCATTTGCTAATTATGTGTTATTATGTTGTATGATTGTGTAGTTTAATATTTGCGATTAATCATTGACTATGTGAAGTAATATGTACAGAGTTTGGATAATTCTGGAAAACACGCCATATCTGTCGGGCCATGGGGAGGTCAAGATGGATTTCACTGGGATGATGGAGTGTACTCCACAGTAAGGCAATTGGAGATAGCTCATGGAGCTGGAGTAGACTCAGTTAGGATTGAATATGATAGGAATGGGGCCTCAGTCTGGTCAGAAAAGCATGGTGGCAATGGAGGGGCTAAAATTGACACGGTGAGTTTATAGTCCTGAGAACACTGATCCATCTATTCATTCCATGCTTTCATGGTTCAAAATTTCTTCTGTAAATTTTCCAAGTGATTCACTAGTGATGATCATCTAACTGACACTTATTACTCGTCCCATATTCTTGACCACTTTTGTCTGTTGTTCTGACTTCGGTGACATGTAATGATTTATTTATTTATTGATGGATTTCCTTTTTTCCTACTTTTATAAAATATTTCAGATCAAAACCATTTTAAATGGCTTAAATTGATGGTTCTCCAGGTCAGGCTTGATTACCCAGATGAGTTCCTAACTTCAATTCGTGGACATTATGGTAACTTACAAGCATGGGGAACAGTGTTTGTTCGATCACTTACTTTCGAAAGCAATAAAAGAACGTATGGGCCTTATGGCATTGAACAAGGTACTTATTTTACATTTCCAACAAGTGGCAAGATTGTTGGCTTCCATGGAAAGTGTGGCTGGTACCTGGATGCTATTGGTGTTTATCTGGAGTCTATTCATAAACCAATTGCCTCAAATTCTATCGTTCAGTCTCAGTTTTATGGTTTTCATCAGACTGAGAAGTATGAACACACTATGATCCAAGGAAGCCTCGGTACAAACTATGACCTCATTGTGGCGGTTAGAAACAAGGATGATCACAGCAATTCTCTAGCAAATCACCCCTCAAGGCAGACTTCTATTGAGTTCAGCCATGCAGAACCAAAGAATGAGGTGACATGGATCTCTTTTTAATAAAAGTTCTTTTAAGTTTCTTGCACTTTTTCTAAATTTATTTTTACAAAAATGAACTTTGCTGATAATATATTTCAGATTGCACATGTAAGCCCCAACAAAATTGAGAGAGTCCCCTCTAAAAATGTTAAAGGTGTTTTGACATATGGACCCTGGGGTGGTAATGGTGGAAACCTATTTGATGATGGAGTCTACGATGGCATCAGGCAAATTAATTTATCACTCAATGTAAGAATTGTTTCTTTAAGAGTTTGCTATGAACAAAATGGGCAATCTGTTTGGGGAAGCAAAAATGGAGGCAATGGAGGATTTAAATCGGATAAGGTTGTACTTATCAAGAAATACAATTTGAAATTCATCCTATGTCTTATTGCATCAAAATCATTATTGACTCTGGAAATTTGTTTTTTCTTTGCAGATTGTGTTGGATTACCCATCAGAAATCTTGACTCACATAACAGGCTACTACAAACCTACAATGATTATGGGCCCTGAAGTCATCAAGTCACTAACTTTTCATACTACGAAGGGAAAATATGGCCCCTATGGAGAAGAAGAAGGGAAGTACTTCTCAACCAATTTAAAAGAAAGATCGATGATTGTTGGATTCCATGGAAGGAAGGGATTATTTATTGATGCAATTGGTGTCCATGTGCTAGAAGGGAAAGATGTTCCTGCATCAAGTCCTCCCTCCAAATTCAGTGACCATAATGCGGTCTCACCCACCAAATCCAAGAACAACATTCCTACGTCAAATTCCGCCTCCGTGTCCAACAACCACACTTTATTGTTAAAAAACAAAGTTGGCATTCCTCGATGGTTTTCTAAAGTAGGAAAGCAAGCACAAATGGGAGAGGTACTGTGTTGTAACTTCTTTACGTCTATGTCTACATTTTAATATTATGTCTCAAATTTTACTCATGGATATTGACATGACGTTACTTTTACAACGTTTATATTGGCATACAATTCCTAAAGCTTGATGAATCTGCTTAGGTCGTCCAACGACTGCTGAAAGATCCAGTTCCATATGGACCTGGTCCGTGGGGTGGAGATGGTGGAAAACCCTGGGACGATGGAGTATTCTGTGGGATTAAACAGATCGTACTAACAAAAACAGAGGCCATTATCTGTATTGAAATTGAGTATGATCGAAATGGGCAATCTGTTTGGTCAATAAAACATGGTGGCAATGGTGGACAAGAATCTAATCAGGTACAAGCATCAAACCTAATTATCAGTAGTCTTTTAACTTGTTATGCCGTGCTAATAGGAAACTTGTTCAGTGTCTTTATTTCAATCTATTTTTATCACACTCTTTTACTCGAGATTTTAATATCACCACCATACCTCGTATTTTTCCAGATAAAGTTGGAATATCCTCATGAAGTATTAACCTGCATAAGTGGATATTATGGTCCTATCAGCAAAGACCAAAGAAAAGAAGGCATAAAATCCTTGACATTTTATACAAGTCGAAAAAAATACGGTCCATTTGGTGAAGAGTTGGGTAGTTTTTTCACATCAAATACTACAGAAGGCATGGTGGTTGGCTTTCATGGGAGGAGCAGCATGTATTTGGATGCAATTGGAGTTCATATGCAATATTATTTAGGAAATAAAAGATCATCTAAGCCCTCATCTCACATGAAAAATTTCGGTTGATTTCATGTTTTGATCCAAATAACATGTTAATCAAGAAAGAAATAATTATGAACATAATACTGGTGTACTTGTGTATCATGATACCCCCAATAATGGACTTGGATGTTGTGCTTGATTTTGATCTGATTGCCTACAGAGTTGCATAACTTATTAATTATAGAATTCTATAAAACATGATGCCATGCTTGACTCCAATCTGATTTCAACTTGAAATTTAGCTTAAACTCCTGGAATGAAGCAATCTCACTAACATGATGTGATTGTTGAAGGTATAATTGCTTTTGAGACGTAACAATGAATCGAAATGGTTAATGAAAAGAAATTCATGCAATTGATCTCAAATTTCTTATAATTAGAACAAAAATTTGCAGCAAAAGTTCCAAACTTTTCTAAAATGCGCAGTGGTACTAATAGACAATATGTGTCAAAATATTAGTTAATTGGTTGAACGTCAAGTCTTTGACCATGATTTGATCATCTTTAAAAATGAAAATGACAAAATAGTAGTCTACATTTTCCAACTTTAAATAATTAAATAAAACACAAAAGAAGAGAAAATAAATAAAAAAGAAAAAGAAATTTCTTCATCTTGCTTATTCATCCCCCATCCACTGACATTCATCTTAATTTCTCCTAGACATAGTGCCAACCCACCTCAAATAACCGTCGCCACCTCCACCACCATGCCACAACCATGATCACATGAAAACATAAACAATATCACTCCACCCACCCCGTCGTCAAGACCGTCTTCTGTAATTTTACTCGTTCTATGTATCACATCACAATAACCTAACATTAGTTTTAATGTGTTAAGAAGACATCACTATTGATCTATTTAATAATGATAGGATTTGTTAGAGCCTTCTTCTTCTAGCACGGGTGCATCTATACAGGTCATTATTGGGCTCTTTCCAGCTCAATGTATTTAGGCAATTGTTCTTCGTGGATATATGAATGATACGTGTACATTTGATCAAATCAAGTAATTATGAGAAACAATCATGTTACATGTACATCATCTTTTACATTGTATCACATGACAAAACATCATTGGATAGTTTAAAAGATATCATTTTTCAAGATTGCTTAAAGATGGTAACTTCTCCAACCATTTTCTTTATTTTTTTCCTTAATTGTAGTTCTTGAAATCAAAATCAAGCAAAAAAAGCAAGAAAAAATATTGAATTATGTTGACCTCAAAAAAATGAGCCAACAAAAATTCGACCACCCCCCCCCCCCCCCCCCCCCCCCCCCCCCCCCACCCCCCACCCCCCCAATCCTTGCTTAAGGCGGGGTTGTCTCCTGCCTCCTTTTTCTGTCCCGATTATATTTTTTAAATTTTTTTATTTTTAGGATGATTTGGAAATTANGAAGGTAAAATAAGTACAAGAAACGCTAGAGATGAATTGTTTAGGGTTTTAGAAAACATATCTTATGTGAAAATGATTTCACACATATATAGAACTGTGGAAATGGGCCAACTAGGTTATTGAAATGGGTCAAATTCAAACCCAAGATTCAATTGTTTAATTAAATATACCCAATCAATTGTCATGCCATTTTCACACATATATAGAATTGTGGAAATGGGCCAAGTGGGTTATTGAAATGGGCTCAAATCCAAACCCAAGATTCATTTGTTCAATTAAATATACCCAATCGATTGTCATGCCACGTAATTTTAGGAGTAACAATAATCCCCAAGTTTGAGTCGTACAATCATGTGTGGGTTGACTTTAAAATACAAACTGTCAAATAGACAGGATCTTACAGATTGCCTTAAAAATGTGAGTAGCTCCAATAAGTGAGAACTTATGAACTGCTTTGAAAATATGTATCGATTCCAAATAGATGATGACTTACGAATTGCCTCGAGAATATAAATAACTCCAACAAATGAGGATTTACGAATTGCCTCGAAAGATGCCGCATGTAATTAGTCAAAATTTCGACATCATCTCTTCTATAATATGGACTAAATCAACTTGTAATTTATTATAATATATCCACTGCACATATGCAAAGTAAATTTGAATCCATTTGACCCTTCCAAATACTAATGACAATAGCGTGAATAATATTAAATTAAACTTCTCCAAAATAAAATATGTAAAGAGTCTATCATGTATCATAGTAGATGATATGCTGTCAATAATGATATGAAAATATAGATAATGTGGCATAGGTACGGGCTATAATAAAAATGTCACAATAATGATATAGTGATACTAAAATACTAGTATCACAATAGTCCACTAAGTTCAGGTATGGATATTCATATAATGCGTGGACTTCTGGATAGCAGCTGCAATGAAACTGATACAGAGATGAGATGCTGGATATAAGTAGTTGTGATAAGCTGTTGCAGATGCAAGACTTTGAATATAAACAGCTGTGATAAGCTAGTGCAGATGCGAGACTCTGAATATATGAGCAGCAGAGGCGATGTTCTGGATGTAAGCAGTTGTAATAAGCTAATGCAGACGCGATACTCTAAATATAATCAACTATGACAAATTGATGTAAAGGCGAGACTCTGAATATAAGTAGCTATGATAGGTTGATGCAGAGGTAAGACTCTGAATATATTAGCAGCAAAGGCGATGGGTTGAATATATTAGTAATGGCGATGCTCCGAATGTAAGTAGCAGAGACGATGCTCTGGATGTAAGGTATTGTTTTTTAAAACCCTAACCAAACCTCATCTTCCGTCTCTTGCACTTATTTTTCTTTCGTTCGGTCGTTGACTTTACCGTTGAGTGCAAATGGTCGCTAGACATTTTTCTCGACCGGTGGCCTTTGCTTCCTAACATGATGTTCTAGTGTGCGGTCATGCCTACGTGGAGAGAAGGTGGTCAGGATTCTATTGTCGCATTTTTTGAAGTTGACAAATTATTTTGTTAAATTTGCTATTTTGTCCTTCGTGATCCTCAATTCTTAGTGAAAGTCAAATTAGAAAAAGGATAAAAATGGAGAGAGATTGGGAAAGGGAAAGAGGGAAAAGGTAGAGAAGGTAGAGAGAGATGAGAAATGGAAATGCAGAAGAAATATAGACGAGTGGGAAATTAAGATGAAGGTCGAAGTGGATGGTGAAGGGTGGGTAAGGAAGAGGAAGAAATTTGTTTTTCTCTTTGTTTCTTCTCTCTCTCTTGTTTCATTCTTTTTTTAATTGTTTTAAATTGAAAAATGTAGACTTGCTATTTGACCATTTTTAAAGATGGTCAAATTATTGTCAAATGTTTGACTTTTGGTTTACTAATGGATTTTTTGAGGGAAAATTGTCATGACGTCCTTTTACTGCATACTTTTGAAAGATTCGTAACATATCTGTTACAATTCAAAGGTTTGGGACATTCTCTACAAATTCTATAAATAGACTTGAGTTAAAGTTGAACTTGTTTAACGGTACAGAGCCAAACGGAAATGAAAAAAAAAATAAAAAATTGAGCATATGGTTTTTCAAACACAATATACTTTGATAACAATTAACTTTTAGGATTTTGTCATTTGCACATTTCAAGGTTGACATCGTTGTTGACGCTTGCCTTGTTGTAAAATAGTGATTATATGAATTTTTTTAAACTGCCAAATGACATTTTGCCATGTGGCAAAGTATAAACCATGATACACAAAGTGTACACCAAACATGATTGTAACTTTCATACTTGATGTGACTGCCTAATTAAGGATTAAATTACTTGTACATACAAAATGTACATTTTGATTGACACCCCCCATGTATCAAAAATTTGACAGTTGATTGAAAAATATGTTGTCAAGATCAATGTACCAAACTCTGCTAACTCACATGAGTGTAAACCAATGTATCAATTTTTATGTATATGTAACATAGTCTCCAATATAATTGTATGAAATAAGAACAAAATCCAAGGAAAATTTGGTATTAGAGAGAGAAAAAGGTTCATTTGATTATTCTCCACGAGCGGAGATCTGCTGTTACATTTATGCTATCCAATTTGCTGTCCACAAAATTACAAATTGACACATCATGAAAAATTAAAATTGATGTTAAGGTTGACAAATTAAAATTGATGACAACTTTAATTTTCCATGATGCATCAATTTGCAATTAGATAGATAGTGAATTGAACAATAAAAATAAACAGCAGATCTCAACTCATTCTCCATGCACCAACACCACTAAAAGCAGATGTTTTCTTGCTTTGTGTTATTTGTCTACAAAGTGCCAACATAGGCCAATGTTGTCCCCTGCTTTACACACAAAAATATATGAGAGGTGCCTCTGTGGTAAAAAATGGTTTTCATCATAAAAGAAAGACAAAAAATGGATTAATCCTGGTAGATATATGCTATGGACAAAAGTAATTGATTATAACATGACAACCTAAACAAGTTACTAGCCTCGATCAATATATACACATGACAATTAATATTACTTGTGCCACGATTTCGACTTGATATTGTTCAATTAAAATACGATTGTATTTGTCTATTTCTCGTCGAATATGATTTTTACTTTCCCTTGGTACTATCTTAGAGGTGAGACCAGAAAATTATTTGTAGTCTTGTCTTCGTACATACTAAGTGGGTTTTTTAGTATGTAGATTTTTTTGGTGCACTTGGGGGTTTATGGGTTTTGAGGTGGGTGAGAGATTCTATATAATTGTAACAGTTTTTAATATAATGAAATATCTTTGTCTTCGGCGGCCTATGGTTATTCGATTTGGAGGTTTTCACGTGAATCTGTGTTATTTTTTCAATCTATTTTTTGTTTTCTAGCTCCTTAATTTTTCTCTTAACAATTGATTGTGTGTGCAAATTGAGGAATTTTCTCAATGCCCGACACCCTTTTAACATGTTTTTTT